ATATAATTCACTCAAGGAATGATGTGCAAAAGGAATAAGGACCGTATCAAATAAAGTTAACATTTTGTACCAACTCTAACATGCAGTGCAAAATAGATGTTTATCATATAACTTAAATATTAGTAACTTACCTTCAGGGTGTGTTTACGCCTTGCAGACAGTCTCTTCCTGCAGAAACCAAACAATGTAATCTGAGTGAGTTCATTATTACAACATTTTTTAATATTAAGAAGCTTTGCACTTACAATTAAATTATAAACATTATATAATCAGTAATATTTTGTTATTTCCTTTTTAGCTTTCACAACTACATAAAAGGTTCAGAACTTTAAAAAGGTGTTTTTAGGAGAGATGTTCTGTCAAACAGGTATTTATAGTTTGTACCTTATCAGCTGTGTCATAGAGCACAGAGCATGGAGAAACAGGCGAGTCTTTTTAACAGCTTTTCGGGTTTTTTGTCAAAGGTCGTTTATTTCTGACGTGATTTACAGTTTGACTCAATTCAAATCTTTTAAAACAAGTCTTGTGTAAAACAATGTGCCACTGTAAAAGAGCACTACAGCTATTAATAAACTACTGACGTTGTGTGTCTAGTTTGTTGCGTAGTACGACACAGAGTGTTACATCCACAGTAAACGTCTGTGAACGGATCAGTCCAGTGTGACCTGAGTTAACCTTTGGCCTCTTCAAGCTTAAATTCTACATTACTGCTTGAACTTCTAAAGAGGAAAGCAATAAAAAACATAATTTACTCATGTTTTTGTCATGTTCTTTGACATTCACAGTTCGAGCTGTTGTGTGCAGAGGTGTCAAGTACTTTGTTACTAGTAGAAATTTTGGTTATTTATATTTTAGTGGAGTAATTATTTTTCAGCTTACTTCTCCTCCTTACATTTTAATTCAATCATCCGTACTTTCTACTCCTTACTTTTTAAAAATGTAAAAAGTATTTCATTTTTATTTAACTTTGACTTGTTTTTATTCCAGAAAAAATAAACTGAAATCTATCCAGATACACGGAGCCCTTGGACAGAGTGAATTTGATTGTGGTTGGATGAGAAGTATAAATATAAACCATTCTGACATCCTGTTGGATTGAACTCACTCCATCACACCTGTTTGACACAAATCACAATCACATCCAGCAGGACAGACTGTAGCTGATGTAGCCTAAATGAAGATGATCGTGGCTGAAACAAGTGTTCTAGTCAGTTCAGTCCAGATTTATTAACATTTTAATTTAACATTATACTCATTATTGACTTTAGAAGAAAAATTGGGGCGGGGCTTGTATGCTATAGTAAAATTGGGGCGGGGCTTGTACGCTATAGCACCTTTTAAAAAGTGGCGTTTTTAAGTGTTCATTACGTTTACTTTTATACTTTAAGTAGTTTTAAAACCAGTACTTTTATACTTTTACTTGAGTAAAAAGCTTGAATTGATACTTCTACTTACAAAAAAGTATTTTAAACCCTAGTATCTATACTTCTACGTATGTAACGAATGTGAATACTTTTGACACCTCTGGTTGTATGGGGGTATTTAGTGCTACACTAAAAATCAGAAAACAAATTAAACTTGTCCTCGACAATGAAAAAGTTTATTTTCTACTGATCTGAATTTGACCTTTATAAATTCTATTAACACTGGTTTCATTCCATGAAAACATTTATCTTTACTTTGATCTACAATAAGAGAAAATCAGGTTTAAAAAAGGAAAGAAATATATAC